CACTCGGTGTCTGCCTGAAGTCTAGGACTGATGCACATCACCAAATGCTTCATTTCCTCCGACGAGGAAATGAAGCATTTACTGCAGCTGCCTTCAGTTGTTTCTTGTTTGTGGGTTTGTGGGTCTATTTTCGCTTACTGAAAAGCGGCTCTGCCAAGTTGAGACGACATGACTGACTTGGCCAATAAAGAATAAACTGAGAAATTAAGAATTGTTTTTGCAGCATGCTTCGGGACGTTGTCGACTTGCACTCTGTTATAATGTGGTTTGTTTTGGATTATAAGCTGCTTCTTCCTGTCTCCACACTTTTCCCTGGTACAAGTCCACAAGTTCAAGTTGCACCTTGTTTAAACTCTCTCTACCTCCATTCATCAATGCATCTCTTGATTGTACACATGAAAGTCTGAAAGTCTTTTTGATTTGGTTAAATATTGTGAAGCTATTTTTCTGAACCATGGATATAATCCTGTTTTCATGCATGTATCAGATTGTTGCTGATAGAAGTATTTTAGTTGTTCAACTTAACGACAGCCTCCTTCACTTCCACTGCATCTCTTTTATTCTTATATTTAAGATTACAGTGAAAAGCTATAACATACAAATTCAACACTTTGAATCAGCTGCAGATATTAGATAGCAGATATGTGACAGACGCTTCATTGGTAATGAAGTAACAAGGGAACAGGCCTCACCTGGCCATGAAACATCTCGTCACTCAATTGTCTAATTACTTTGGAGCCTCTGAGGCTCTAATTCATTTCCAGCTAAAATCGCTTTGTAAAATTGCTTGAATTAAAGCTGAAGCCTGCAGTTCTATCATATCTTGATGGTTTGTTGGTGGTACGTTCAACAAATTATGGATTCAGCTGTAGCTAGCTGCTTTCAGCACTTTAATTTAAACCACATTAACCTTTGATTCCTGTTCACTCTTTTCCAAGTTTCTAACGAGGTATATTAGTATTCTTTTACAAAACAATAAACAATAAAAGTGGAAGTTAGCATTAAAAAAAGACAACTATGTATCAACTCTGTCTTCATCAGGGTCAGGCAGAATGAAATACCAGCCGTGGGCCTTCTACCAACACCCGAGTCAAGGTATAATTCAATTCAATTCAATTTTATTTATATAGCGCCAAATCACAACAAAAGTCGCCTCAAGGCGCTTCATAGATACAGAGAAAAACCCAACAATCGTATGACCCCCTATGAGCAAGCACTTTGGCAACAGTGGGAAGGAAAAACTCCCTTTTAACAGGAAGAAACCTCCGGCAGAACCAGGCTCAGGTTCCCCAACCGGGGAACCTGAGCCCCAACCGGTCGCAGCCATCTGCTGCGACCGGTTGGGGTATACAACCCATAAGGAGACCTAAAATAAAACATAAACCCCAAATATGTCAAAAAGTCATAATGCACTACATAACACAAAGCTAAATTTTACATTTTCTACCTGCCTCAGTGAAGAGCATCAGAGCCATGCAGTGCTTCCATTTGTTTTTGTGACATTATTCAGATTATTAGGAAGAAATTGCCTGACATTTGTATGTTTCTCTGTGGTTGTGTTTTGCTTAGATTCCAACACAACAAACAAGTTTTTTTTCTGATGATTTTTCTTCCTTTTGTTTTGTAGTTGAGTTCATGACTGAAAACAATGGTCAGTGCAAGCACCAGGAAGTGAGCCACTTTGTCACGTCTACAAACAACTTTAGAGCTGTTGGCGAGGCATCTTCTGCTGAAGATGCAAATCATTCACACTCCCACTTCCCTTCCCCTCTAAAGCTGAATAATCACATGGTAACTTTAGGATTTCTATATGCCCCTGTCAGCACATTTATAGATGAGAATCTTTTCTTGCTCTTGCCAATCTTGTTGCAACTCCCATTTCTCAGTCACACTCCCCAGGCATGGAAACTTTGACATCTATTTATAGCTTCCCCTTATCTGCAGACATTAGTTAGATCCTCAGTTTGGTGCATAAAGTGTGCTCAATGCCTACTACAAAGTTTGAAGAGTTTGTGACTTTACATGATAATATCCACTTACATTCATCTATTAAGCTATATGATGACTTTAGGATATAGGTGGTTGATCTTTTTTTTTTCTTCTACGGCTAAATTTGGGCAAAATTGAGTTTTTGTAGTTGGCTCAAAAAGTCTAAATAAATTGGCATGTAACAGGATACTTTAATCCAAAATCCCACTGTGAGAATAGCAACAGAGACTAGAGATAAAAATGTCTCTCTCATATTGGCTTCTCTTCATAGGTTCCCTGTTGAATCCAGAAATGCTTTTAAAAGACTGTTCCTCACATAAAAGGTTTTGAATAATCAGGCCCCATCATATCCTAAAGATACAATATCTGAGATAAATAAAAAACTGAACTGAGTTGAAACAAATTTTTCAGCTCTCTGATATGATAAAACTCTGCAAGTTGAAGGCCTACACAATTCTATAGTTTATAAGTTTGTCGTGTGAACCAATAACCATCTGAAAAAAGCATATATTTCCAGTTTTAATTTGGAGATAGTAACAACATTTTATCTGCAGACTTATGCAGCATCGCATCATTTTGGCGTTCAGACAGGCCACAGATTAAAGAAATAAACACACACAGTGTATTGACGATTTAACATTCAAAATCACTCTCCATAATTCTGTTTAAGGATGAAACATCACAACAAATGGAAAACAAAGATTTCAGTTATTCACATGCAATGTCATGGTAACTATTCCCTCTATGGAACTTTAACTTTTGTTTTCTTGTAAAACTTGGACAGTCAGTTGATATGAAATATTAATACACCATATAATAAACCACAGTGATTAAAAAGTACAAGCTTGGCTTTAAACTGCATAATGATCCATTATAGTGCAGGGCTAATGTTAGGTACTCATTTCCCAGACAGGGCAGGTAGTGCTGCTTGCAACTGCATGACAAACTACATAGTAAAACTCATTTACTCCAGACCTTAAAATTGAAGTTTGGTTGGTATAAAGACAGGAGGCAAAAAAAAGGTAAGGCCCTTTAATGGCACAGTTGCATTGACCTGCACAGTCATACTGAAGAGCACCTGTTCTGAATAGCATCAATGTTCTCTTCATCCCATTTAACTCGGCTGTCTCATGGTCACTGTTAGTGATATTAGCTACATCTGTGTTTTCCCTGCCACAACAAGGTAAATGCTGTGCTGTATACTTGGTTA